GAGCCAGTTAATATTGTTTAAAGTTTTGACAAAATACTTTAGATCTTGGGTTTTATTTTAAAAAGTAACATGCATATTTTATTGTGAAATAAATGTTTTGTCCATATATATCCATTAATATAAAGAGACTCAAAAGGGTCACATTGACAGGGTTGACACAATTTGAGGTTTGTTTAATGTTTTTCTGCTTGCAGTTTATATATATATATATATATATATATATATATATATATATATATATATATATATATATAGTCAGAATTATTAACCCCCTGCGTATTTTCCCCCCAATTAACGGAGAGAAGATTTTGTTTAGTAAATAATATTTGACTAGATATTCTTCAAGACACCTCTATACAGCTTAAAGTGACATTTAAAGGCTTACCTAGATTAATTAGGTTAAAGTTAGGGTAATTAGGCAAGTTGTAAATAAGCATCTAATTGTATAAAGATGGTTTGTTATGTAGACAATCAAAAAAAAAACTTTAAAAGGGTTTTAAAAAAATTAAAAACCGCTTTTATTCTAGCCGAAATAAAAGAAATAAGACTTTCTCCAGAAGAAAAAAATATTATAGGAAATACTGTGAAAATGTCCTTGCTCTGTTAAACATCATTTGGGAAATATTAAAAAAAGAAGAAGAAATTCACAGGAGGGCAAATCATTTTAACTTCAGTGTGGTCTATGTGGCACTTTTCTCTTACATCTGCTTTTGAAAACACTATTGGTTGGCTTTAGGAAGGTGTTTAGGTCAGTGGTTTGCTGGTGATCTCCAAGCTCTGCCTTCTCGTGGGCATGTACAAGAAAAATGTGTATCTGAAACATACAACAAAACGTACTCTAAGGGTGCTTTAACTCCTGTACATGATTGTTTTGTTCTGAAACAGGGATAAAATGTTAGTGTTGCTTTTTGTTTGGTGCAGTTCACAGTTCACTTTCACACGGCAAAGTTTCTAAACGGATCAAAATAGTTTTAAAAAGTCACGTACGAGTAAACTCTCTTCACGTTGGTTTCACAGCTTATTTTTCCCACGGATTCCGCTCAGCTGTCGTTATTTTAATTTATGACGATTAAAGTTGCGCTTAAACTTTGACACCCACAGACATCGTCACCAAAAATAAATCCGAGAAGTGAGACTTTTTCATGCATAGCCTCATTTCAATTGTCAAGAGTTTAAGTTATTGAATCAATCAATCTATTACCCAACATTTGTGGTATCATTTAATTAGTTATTTTAAAATAAGAATAAGACATTTAATAACTTGTTTTCATTATCAGTTTTGAGCTTAAAACGTTGGCAAGATATTTGCATGACAGGCTTTATGCTTTATAAAACAAATGAACCGGGACAGCAGTCAGATCATGAAGCAGATGAATTTTCATCTTTCTTTCGAGGTGTCAGTGCTGAAATGAACTAAACAATAGACCTAATTCATTCATTCATTCATTCATTCATTCATTCATTCATTCATTCATTCATTCATTCATTTTCCGTCAACTTAGTCTCTTTATTCATCAGGGGTACCGCCAACTATACCAGCATATGTTTTATGTATAGCGGATGCCCTTCCAGCTGTAACCCAGTACTGGGAAATG